AAGGTGGATCATTGACCTGGGCGATCTATTTTTGGATCGGAGAAAAAGCGACAGTACGTATACTTTTAAATCAGGACAATAGAAAAAAAAGGCTAAAGTTGAATAAATTATATCATGTAGATTATCACACACATGAATCGGATACAATTGATTTAATAACAATTTGTTCTCATAGTTAGATAAGAGAGCATGTGCAGCGATTCACGCTGTAAATCTGAGAAATTACTTAGGCGCACAATGTCGAACAATTAGGGAAGAACAAGGAGACGAATCTGATGAATTTCTGATGCTGTTTGATTCGGGTATCACTTATATTGAAGGTGGTCGCACGTCGTCTGGTTTTTACACAGTAGAAGATACAGTAAGCTTAATTCTTATACCATAATTATATAAGTTTTCGGAGCGGAAATTTAAATTACGTTGAATTTTCTTTTCAGCCAGCGATTACTCGTTTATATAGAGTACACGCAGCGGGAGCTTCTATACATTTAGAACCAGTACCAGTATTCATTGAATCTCTGGATCCCGGTTATGTATTTGTTCTTGACACAGGAAATAAGATATTCATGTGGTACGGCAAGAAAGCGAAGAGCACGTTAAAATCGAAGGCGCGATTGATGGCAGAAAAAATTAATAAGAACGAACGGAAAAATAAAGCCGAGATTTTAACGGACGTCATGGGTGCCGAGTCCGAAGAGTTTTTGCTATATTTAGGAGTGAAAGAGCACGAACAGAAAAATCTACTAATTGTTGTAAGCTTCTTTTCTACAATATACGCAGTAGCATAGTAATAAAAATAATAATTATATACTATTTAAACTATATTTATACTATATAAATTAGATTTAAACTTATATATTATTTATAAGTTTGAAATTTTATTTAATTCATCTTTTTAAATATATTTAATAATTATTTTTTTAAATCTGCATATTATGCTAATCATATCGTTTATTTTTACAATAGGAGCATGTGGATCCAAATTTCGTGCCTGTCGTGCCCAGATTGTATCAAGTTCAACTCGGAATGGGTTATCTAGAACTTCCACAGGTCGAAGTTCCTCACGGGAAGTTAACGAATACCTTGCTAAACAATCGCAATGTGTATATATTAGATTGCTACTTAGATGTATATGTTTGGTAAGTGTAAAGAACATGTTGAAGTCTTTTAAACCTATATTAACTAAATTGATGATGCATATACTTAGGTTTGGTAAAAAATCGACGAGATTAGTACGCGCCGCTGCTGTGAAGCTATCTCAAGAATTATTTAACATGATAGAAAGGCCAGAATACGCGATGGTAACGAGATTGCAAGAGGGAACTGAATCACAGGTATAAATATACTTTTTTTTAACTCAATTTATAAAAATTCAATTTACAAACTCTTTATTAAAAATTATATTTACTTTATGCATTATATAGATCTTCAAGTCTAAATTTACCGGATGGGACGAAGTAATTGCCGTAGACTTCACTAGAACGGCTGAATCGGTCGCTAAAACTGGAGCAGATCTCACTAAATGGGCTAAGCAACAGGAAACAAAAGTACATTAACATTTCATAATAGCTGCATTTTTGTTTTATTACATTATTTTTATTTAAAATAATTGTTTATTTATTTTTTCACATAATTTTTAGGCGGATTTGGCCGCTTTATTCATGCCGCGGCAACCATTGATGTCGGCTGCCGAAGCGTATCAACTCATGGCAGAGTGGAACGATGATTTGGAGGGAATGGAAGCATTGGTGTTAGAAGGAAAAAAATTCGTACGCTTACCGGAGGAGGAGTTAGGACATTTTTACAGTGCGGATTGTTATGTTTTTTTATGCCGATATTGGATGGTACGTAAAGTGTATCAATGCAAAATTATCGAATTTACGGCTAATTTACTGCCATTTTGCATTTGATTAAACCAGCCACTAGATATAACGGAGAACGAAGACGGCGAGGAGCAATATGAAGATGATTATCAGTGCACGGTGTATTTCTGGCAAGGCAGAGACGCGGGAAACATGGGATGGTTGACGTTTACATTTAGGTAAAAACCATAGACATATTTATCTAATCTGTGATTCCTACAGATTTATGTTTCATAGATTTGTCCAATCTATGATTATCAATATCAGGTGAATCTTTTTTGTTTCAGTCTGCAAAAGAAATTTAAATCATTGTTCGGAGAAAATCTGGAGGTTGTAAGAACACATCAACAGCAAGAAAATTTAAAGTTCATGAGTTACTTCAAACGAAAGTTTATCATTCATCAAGGCAAACGTAAACAGCCGAAAGCTGCAGGCAGTAATAAAGTAGAATTCTATCATCTACGAAGTAATGGCAGTGCCTTATGTACTCGGCTCATTCAAATACCGGCGGATTCGACGTTATTAAATCCTGCTTTTTGGTGAGACACATTAGGTCAAGTATGATTACATTTCGTTTGGAAAATATACAGCTTATCTGTTTTTTTTTGTTTACAGTTATCTTTTAAATGTGCCATTTAACAATTCTGACGAAGGTACTGGTATCGTGTACGCGTGGATTGGATCGAGGGCTGATCCCGAAGACGCTCGTCTAATAGGAGAAATAGCCGAGGAAATGTTCAATAACGTGAGTTATAATTGTTTTGTGCTTAGATTTCGAAGAACTTGAGTTCGATTTTGTTCAACTTAATTGAATTGCAAATATATATATTTGTTAAATATTCAAATACTTAATAAACATTTAAATATTCTTTTTATTCCATTGAAGTAAAGAATATTTCCTATCTTATAAATGAAAAAAAATGTTTTTATTTTTCATTGTTGGTAATAAATATGAATAATTGGATACAGCCATGGATAAGCCTGCAAGTATTAAACGAAGGCGAGGAACCGGACAATTTCTTCTGGGTGGCGCTTGGGGGGAAGAAACCATACGACATTGATGCGGAATTTATGAATTACACAAGACTATTTAGATGTTCCAACGAGAAGGGGTACTTTACAATCAGCGAGAAGTGCACCGATTTTTGCCAAGTAAATTTTCAACATATATATAGGATTGAGGAAAAATTTTTTTATATATATGTAAAAGGATCTTACAATATCTTACAATATCTTCGTTAACAAAATCTAAATTTAAAAAAAGGGCTTTAAAACTTTAAATTTTTACTTTCGAAAAGTTATTATATTTTTTAAGTTTTTGTGAGTTTGGTAATTTTTATATAAAAAATTACGAGCTGAAAAAGATAAAAAATTTTCTTTTTACTTTGTGGATCTTTCATGTGCCTAAAAAAAATTTGCAAACATTTTCGACTACCTATCGTGAAAGCTTTACATATATGTGAAAGGACTTTTTCTTCAACCCAATAGAGTTATTTTTTGTAGGACGATTTGGCAGATGATGATATAATGATACTCGATAATGGAGAACAAGTATTTCTTTGGCTGGGTACTCGCTGTTCAGAAGTTGAAATCAAACTGGCCTATAAGTCAGCTCAGGTGAGTTATACAAATTTAACCGTTATAATTTTTATGAAAATGCTACAAATATTTCACAAAGTAAATTAATTCCAAATGGAGGATCGCATCGATGTAAAATGTTAGCAATTTAACATTTTCTTTTTCTTTCAGGTATATATTCAACACTTGCGTGTAAAGCAACCTGACAAACTCCGTAAGTTATTTTTAACTGCCAAAGGTAAAGAATCCAGAAGATTTATGAAATGCTTTCACGGTTGGGGTTTACACAAGAGGCCACCGCAGTAAAATCGAGTCAGTGTTCACTACGCTTATCGTTCGGGAGTTAGTTTTATATGCAGGCAGGGTATGACACAAGCGCAACATTTTTATGTAGATTCCTAATGTGTCGCAATCTTTGTTCTTACTTGCGTTTCATATGCCGGCCAAACGGAGGTCCATTGCAATAATCTGTGTGTCCTCGATGCAAACGATCGATCTAGATCAGGAAACAAAATAATTGTTCACTAAATAACAACGAATCTAACTTTTAAATAAACTTCATATTTCCGCGTTTGCTTCTTTGCTTTCGACTTACTAGGTAATTCTTTACCGATTGCTTTTTTGAATACTACGCGCCAGTCTGCTTGGTATACGTAATTTAATTCAGATTTCTATTTATTAGCGGGCACTTTTTCAACTCAGTCTCATTTTTAATACAAACGGATGCAAGTACAAAGAGTTTTTCTTTTGTATTTCCATCTTTAAGTCCAACAAGATTCTTTCTGTGATGCGATTCTCTCCTATTTTGCACTGTGAAACAGATTCGTCTACTTTATAATCGTTATAATCCATACTCTGTGTATTCAACGAGACTTATTTATTTATTTATTCACATATATATTTCCGTATTTATGAACTTTCGTACAGACTAGACTATGTATCCGTTTTTTTTTTATTTTTCACAAGTTTATGTTTCAGGTAATGTGTGATAGACATTTTAAAAAGTTGTTCGATGAATTGTGATACAAATGTTTATCGTCGAATTATAATGTAAAAAAAAAAGCATTTTCTTTTTTCTATAAAAAAAAAAATAACGATTCTTATATAAGAAGAGATAAATCAATTATTTGTATAGTCCTGAAAGGGTTAAAGTAGAATTTCTCTACAAGTTTTCTAGATTTGCGCTGTGCTTCTAGCAAACACTGTAAAAACTGCTTATTTTGAGCAGATTATTGGAAATCGCATTTGGAAATTTGTGAATATTATCGAAGACTGAAAAGAGATACATGTAATTACAATCGCATGTACACATCTGATTATTAACACCGCCCGATTGTACAGATGCCATAACGAGCGTTTTTTGTATTACTTACATTGTATTTAACACAATTTATTTATAGATATAATATATACATAGATTTATAAATACATAGATTTTGTAAAACTTCTACTTAACTGTCAACAATTGTATAAATAAATAATTTCTATGATAATTTACATAATCTCAGGTATTGAAGCTTAATTATGTAAGGTACCTAAGTAATATAAGCGAAGAGATTTGTCTTTCTCATATACAATTGTTGGTCTTGTATCACTGCAAGGTCTAACTTGAATCTGAAAACAAGCCAGATGATATTTTAAACTAAGTAAAAAGTAGTGGACAAAATTAAAATTTGAAATTACAGTCAACTAAAATGTATGTAAAAATTACAGGTGTCAGCAATCATGTTAGAATTGACTAATCAAATTATATAAATATAATTAATAGATTAAAGTTATTATCTGTTTATTTAAATTTACAAAATTATAGGAAAAGGAGATATTATATTAAACATTCATCTATATTTTTTTAAGCACATATTTAAAGCAGAATGTCTTATCATACATATATATATATATATAGTAGTCCTATTTTAACTTTGACACCAAAATATTTTTAAAAATTATAAAAGATAATAAGAAAAAATATTTGAGACAAAAGTTGTAGAATTTTAAAATATCGTATTTACAGATCATACTTGTTTGACATTGGCGTTGTTAAGATCAGGACGAGACCGCTTTGAAAATTTTTTGAATAGAATCTCCTATATTTTATTGTATATTATTATAACTCTTCCTAAGACCTTTCTGAAACACTATAATTTAATTCACTTTGAGTCAATCGTTATCAAGATTTATATCTACAAGCAATTCAGTCGTCTTTAAGAATCGCACAAACCATAAAGTTTCGATTGCCTCTTTTGTTACCATGCATATTTTAAACCTTGCAACTATTGTCTGAAATATTTTTCCGTATCTTTTATAAATTTTCGAGATATTTCAGTGTCAAAGTTAAAATCCGACATCCAGTATATACTATATACATCTTTTTCTATGTATGTACATGTATGTTTAAAAATTAAAGTAGCGAATAATAATGTTTTTGTAGTTTCACACATATGATTACTAGCAGTTATACTACGGATGTATGAGAAATTACCTTCAAGAGCAACAAGAGCACATCTAACTGGCCGAGTATTTTCAACAATCACAATAGAATAAAACCAGCTGGTCGCTAGTCGTCGTCATCGTCGTCGTCGTCATCGGAGGGAACAAAAAGATCGTTCTCTTCCAGGAAGTTGGCAATGTTCTTACTGATCGTGGCACCGACCAACAAGCCGAATATTACGCTGCTGACGACACCCAGGAAGCTGAACGGTGTTCTCTTCGGCTCGGGCAGTATCGCCCCGGACGGCGTAGTGATCGTCGACCGAAGGAACGGCTTGGCTATCGTGTTCGTCTTCCTAAGAACGGTCCTTCCACGAAACAATAACGTCACTTTGCTCAACAGCATCCTTCTTCCGCGAAATTTATTCCAGGTAACGATTAATATCGCACGCTCCTATCAGCTCCTATCCCGGATTTCCCGGAATTCGCGAGCCGGTAGTACTTGGTAGAATTTAGCACATCTCAAATTCTCAGATGTTTCAGATACTTGCTATATTCAGCGGCTTAGCGCGATACCCATTGACAGTGTCGGCTAAAAAAAGGATCTAAAGTCCCTTTGCAATTCTCCCTAGCCGCTCCGATGCACTGTGCAGTCCGCCAATAAGTTGATAAGATTCTAATCTAGCTAACAATCCTGCAAGAAAACAAACATCGTATGCCACCGGCTTTATCGGAGACAGAGAGAAATCCTCTGTTATTATAGATTAGATAAGGATGAAAAATAAACTTTGTTTATACTGTTTATAGGGTGTGCCTTCCAACAAACGACAGTACAACACAGTGATCATCTCATCTCTGTTCAACTTTGGCCAACAGACGTACTGTGTCTGTGTCACACCGTGTCATCTGTGTCGCTTGTTGAAAGGTACCCAGGAAACACTAGTTCGTATGCTGCAAGCGGGCGCGAGTTTGCATCACTGCTCTCCAGTTCACAGTGCACAGTCCATAGGTCTACTGCTTTCACGAACGTTTAGCGAATGTCGAATACCCGTAATAAAAATATATATAGTTATGCGTTAAATGCGTAACCGTCATCTTCAGTAATTGTAATTTTGATTATCTTACATCGATCAGCTGTCTAAAGTCTTTTTAGGTAAGCCTTTTCCATCGACGATCAATAGTTAGTAGATAATTGATCAGTAATTGCGATCCATTGTCAGAGTGATTGGGAACCATTCTGACTCCATGCGATCCTTCGCGAAATGACAGTTCGAGACTTTTCCATTCGGTTAACTTCTTAATCTACAGTCCACTTTCGGAGTTCCGCTTTAAAAGAGAGATACCCAGGTCTGATTGAGTCTATTCTGAAAACGAGCAATACTCAGCAAAATACTAATGATTAAAGTTGAGTTGACTATTTAAGGGCCGCGTCGATGTTGGGGGGAGGAGAGAGACGGACGGAACCCTCCGCAATCGCAAAGTAGTACACATGTGCGAAGAGTTCCCCCCCCCCCTCCCTCGTAAAACCAAAGTCAATTTTTTTTACAATTAAATCTCGCTTTGCGTGTCAAATTGAAAATCCATGAACGATTCCACTTTCCACGCGAGTTTACAATTTTTCACACATATAGCAAAAAGAAGAGAAGGATCTTTCTTCGTGGCTGTGACAGACTTCCTAACCTGAATAGTCGTAAACTTTAATTATTAATATTTCGCTTTGCGACCTACATGATAGGTGTCCTTAGGTTAAACAAGGACACCTATCGTATAAATCGTAGACTAAGCTTAGTGCTAGCACATGGTGTAATGTAGCCAGTGTCGCATTTTTTTTGGCCAGATTCTTTCATTTCGTGCAGCAACGCGTCGAACGAGCCTAATTTTATCAAAATCAGAGGTGAGGAGAGACTCTAAATTATGAAATACTTAATCTATTGTTGCGAAATAATTTACGAGATCGTCACCCTTATCCGTTTCTCCTGATTCGGTAGATTTTGCCAAGTTGTATCTCAAATCGTCACTCGTTATCAGTAATCAATATTTTATGATGTAACTATTGACTATAACGTCTCCGGTACTTGAGAAGGAAGTCATTAAGATTAGAGGATTATTGGAAATTGGAGGTATTTTAAGGTATTTATATTTGAAGACAAAACATGGATTGTATTAATATTATTCTTATTAATAAAATTTTTTAAGTGGATTTTAAAGTAGATAAAGAATCAGTATCTGAAGGTTTACTAAGATCCATAATACAGTTCAACAAGAGATGTTCTAAGAGAACATCCAGAGGTTATTTTATATCCTTAAGATATTCGTCAAAGAACTATATTGTGTAGAGAATTTGAAGAGTTATAACATAATGAGGTTTCCTAATAATATATATCTTCACTTTTATACTTTCACATCATATCGAATCTCATTTGAGATAAATTAATATAATAAGTTATGTCTTTTTGAGCTAAACACTTAAGTACATAAATAAAGAATTTTTTTGTACTAACATCCAGTATTTGGGTCAGAAAGGCATAATTTAGATTGATTCATATCTTGTTTTATACATTTATATATCTGTACAACAAAGCAGAAATACACTCGTAAATCATTTCTAATCAAATTAGTTGTTGAGGTACATATAGAAGCTGTTTGATTTCATAATTTAATAATTTAAATTCTTTTAGCGCAGTTTGTGGTTTAAGTAAGGAAATGTATGTAATCAGACACACGGCAACACAATGAAGTGTCATTACGAAGTATTAGGAGTTGCGAGAGATGCTCCTGATGATGAAATAAAAAAGGCATATAGGAAGCTAGCATTGAAATGGCATCCAGACAAGAATCTCGAAAGCCCAGATGAAGCTAAAGAACAGTTTCAGCTTGTCCAGCAAGCGTGGGAGATATTGAGCGACCCCCACGAACGTGCTTGGTACGACAATCATCGAGAGGCCATCCTGAAGGGTGGTATCGGAGAGGATTATAAGGATGACTCCATTAATCTTTTCCCATATTTCTCTCTGTCGTGCTTCAAGGGTTACGGAGACGATAAGAAAGGTTTCTATACCGTCTATAGAAATGTTTTTGAGCAGTTGGCAGCGGAGGACGCCGAGTTTGCCAAAGATGGCGATTCCGACGAAGAGGTTCCTAGCTTTGGCGACTCCCAGAGTTCATACGAGGATGTGGTAGGCGATTTCTACGCCTACTGGCAAAGTTACAGCACCAAGCGATCCTACGCTTGGCTAGATCCGTACGATATACGTGAAATGCGGAATCGACGCATTCTCAGAATTGCCGAGAAGGAGAATAAGAAAGTGCGTGATAAGGCGAAGCGCGAAAGGAACGAGCAGGTTCGGAATCTGGTCGCCTTTGTTCGCAAACGCGACAAGCGAGTACAAGCTTACGCGGCGAAGCTAGCTGAACGCGCTCGCGAGAACTTTCGCAAGGCAGAGGAGCGGAGGAAGGCACATTTGTTGGAGAGGCAGAAACTATTGCGAGATCAGATCGAATCTGAATGGTCTAAGTTCTCAAACATGGAAGCAGAGCTGAGGAACATCGAGGCGAATGTCACGGCAGAGTTTGGAAAAGATGACAGGAAAGTAACAACAAGAAACAGCAATCCAGAAGCGTTTTATTGTGTCGCATGTGATAAGGTTTTCCAAACGCACAAGGCCTTTACAAATCATGAAAATTCAAAGAAACATAAAGAAAATATCAGCGTACTCAAGTACGTTATACCGAACGATGTCGAGGACGAAGACCTCGACGGTAGCTCTCGGGAGAGCGATTCGAGTACAAAAGATGAATCAGTTTCGCTAAACGAACCCAGGTTAGCATCAGATTCACAGATGCCGGATTTCTTGTTGAATCCTCTTCGTAGCGATTCAAAACGGAACGATGACGAGGATAAAAGTAATATCTCTCCTGCCGAACTGATATCGGACGATGAGGAAGATCCAGAATGTCCTCGATCAACAGTCGACAAAAAGAAGATAGACAACTGTGAAGATGTCCTATTGGCCGCGGGACCAGAGATGGGCGAAAGTACATCATTTTCATCTAAAGTAGAAAATGAAGACGATGATATAACATCCGAGGATGAATTAATGTCTGATCAGGACGAAGACGTCGCATTGTCGAGTCGTCAGAAGAAAAAGAAGAAGAGGAAGCGTAATATTCAGAATCCTAATCTTATGCTTGCTAGTGACGACGACACGGAGAGCATCAACGAGGAAATATGGCTGTCGAAGAAACAACGAAAAAAGTTACAACAAAGAAAAGTGGAGCAAAATAAACAGTTGCAAAAGGAAGAAACGCGTAAAAAAGAGGAACAAACAACAGAGGAAGCAGAAAGTAGAGTGATGGAAGAAGCAGGTGTTATTGACGAAAGACTAAAAACCGACAAAGCAAAGAAAAATTCTAAGAAAGAGGAACAAGAGAACAAGGGCAAAAATAAAAAGGATTCGATAGTAAATATGGATGAATTAGCTCATCGCTGTGTTTCTTGCTCATCTGAGTTTCCTAGTAAAAATAAACTATTTGAACATTTAAAGAAAACTGGACACTCCGTATATATACCAGAATTATCGAAAAATAAAAAGACTCAAGAGAAGAAGAAAAAAGCAACATCTAAAGAAAAAGACGACTCAGATAAGAAAAAACGTTGAATCCAACTTATTATGAAATGTCAAATTACAATTAATTATAGTAATTAAATAATAACAGTATCATTTGTTATAATTGACATGAAAAATATCTTATTATGATACACATCTCCTCAGGATTTTATAGGAATTATTTCTGTGTACATATCTTATACCAAGATCTATTAAAATACTTTTCGTTTGATGACACTTTCAATTCTTTTTTAAAACAATATTATTAAAATTTAAAATAAATAATAGAAAGACTGCGAGTCAAAACGATATCGTTTAATTCCATGTATAATAAATATAAACATTGTAAAACCATATAAACAACAAACGTTTCGACATCGATCGGGTCATTATCAATGTTAACTCAGATATTGATTCGAAAAAACATATATAATATCAGGAGACGCGGTAGTGTCTCCGGCCATGTTTAAAAACTGAATATAATTATAGTCCAAGAATATAAAATTTTCGAGAACAAAAAATGTGTTACTTGATTCCATCCATAATAGTTTTGTGGTGTCAACGGTTTTAAATCTTGATATAGACACTTGTGTGGTTGTTATATTTTCTTACGTGCGGTACATTTCTGTTGCTAATCAATCTGACAATGAGTCAAATTTGAAAATGAGGCACATAATTTATGTTCGATGGAAATAGGCAAAGTATGATAATATTAAAAGTATGTTTTGACTAGTGTCAATGTACAGAGACGTTATTATTAATTCAGAAACAAAGCAATCGAATACAAACATGACAAGCTATAAGAATGAAAATTATATCATAAATATACAATGTAATTAGTTTTATTATAACTAGTTGTATTATATAAATTTCTATATCATTAATAAATATCAATATCATTATCATTAAATTAATATTGTTTTCATTCTTTATCATGTCAATACAATATTTATTTTTCATTCTATAATATTTTAAGTTTATCAAATTACTATTGAACTGTTTTTCCTAAACATCGAACAATTATTTTCCAATCAAAAGTTTCAATAATAAGAATTTGCTCTACAATATAGATTATTTCCTAACAAAATTAAAATATCCAATATTTTATATAACAGTAAAAGAAAGTATTTACGTTTTTCAGGGTGTGCAATCTCTTGCTATAGATGCCACGACTATAAGCATAACACACATATAAATGAACATTATTCATTACGCTGTTAATCACAGGTGAGATGTACATTTAAAAATAACGAGCGCTTATATACATTTTACTTGAACTGTTTAATTTCAAAGTGGCATAAAAGTTAGTTAATTAGATCTTTAAAGAGTAAAATAATCGAGATATAAAGTGATATACATAAAATAGAAAAAATAGCATGATATATTTTACGAAACCTATATATACGTCGCTTTGCAATATAACAGCAGGTAATATTATGCAATAACACATGCACTTATAAACTTTCTGTAGGAAGTGAAACTGAAATTTCTTCAAGGTCACACATTATGGCTACCCAAAAGCTCGTTTATCCTGCGGCGAACCGTAATAAAGATCCAATATTATCAGTTTTAAAACGATATATTCAACCTGGTATAAATCAGACCCTCCTGGAGATATCCTCCGGTACGGGACAACACGTGGCACATTTCGCACCGCATTTTCCACAAGTTACGTTTTATCCCTCGGAATACGACTCAAAACTTCTGGACAGCATCGCTGCGTACGCGAATGGATACTCTAATATAAAACGTCCCATTAGAATTGACATCACCACTGACTATCGGTTATGGGGTAACGGCAGCTTCAAATCGAATAGCTTGGAATATATATATAATGCGAACATGATACATATTTCGCCGTATCAGTGCACTATTGGTTTATTTAACAATGCGAGTCAGTTGCTGAAGCCAAATGGGCTACTAATTACTTACGGACCGTACGCTTTTGATGGTCAAATCACTCCGCAGAGTAATATAGATTTCAACGAATCCTTGAAATTGCAGGATCCAAGTTGGGGTTTGCGAGATGTAACAGATTTGAAAATATTAGCTGCAGAGAATAATATCAAATTAATAGAAATCGTAGATATGCCCGCTAATAATAAAACGATCATTTGGAAAAAATGCGCTTATTCGTAAGGAATTGAAGCTCGTGAAACAAGTTTGTTCTTAAACGAATTGTAAACTTAAATTTACACATATGTATAAGTTTATTTTTATTCAACTAAGTTAAAGCATTATTTTTTCATCGCACACGCGCGCGATTGTTAAAAATACATTTTTTAATACTTCTATAATATTATATACACCTTGCGCGCGTATAAAATATTTTTATTATTAAAAATATTTTATATGTACATATATATGCGTATATGCTTAAATTTATGTTTATGTTTAAAATTTTAATCCCTGAGAGACCTAATATAAAACTTATAATATATGATAAAAATACCTTTTTTTATTTAAAAAAAGAAAATTATTTATATTTGTAATAAAAAATAATACAATACAAAGACAAAGTATATCTAAACTGAAGCGCATTCACCACCGTTTTCTAAGTACCGTCATCATCTCCAAAGAAATTTAAATCTTCCAATCCCTCTGGCAAATAGCTTAATCCAGATTCATTCTTATGCATCATATTATATCCCTTACCATATCCTAAAATAATAATTTTATTTATTAAGAGCAAATTGATACAGAAAATAAATGAATTACCTAAATCTTTCATGAGTCTTGTGGGAGCGTTCCTCAAGTACAAAGGCACTCCTGGTTGCGGACCCTTATGCTCAGCTATCACTTTTTGCGCAGCTCTAAGTGCATCTTCCATTAATCTAGATTTTGGTGCTCTCGCTAAATATGTCGTACATTGTGCCAAAAGAACATCACACTCCGGCATTCCAATCATTTTGCAACCGTGCATCGTATGTACTGCTATTCCTGTACACATTTGTTATTAAATATATTTATCTAGTAGAGCCTAAATATGTTATCATAATTATTAATTCATTCCGCAAATCTTACAAGATGGCTATTAAGTACTTTAAAAGATTTAAAGGGTGATTCCTCACACTATAATTCCATAGACTATTAGAGGATCTATATATATATATATATATATATATATATATATATATATATATA